ATAAATGATTAATAAGCACGATATTCATTCACTATAACTTTCAAGAATATAATTAATTTTTTTAAAAACAAATGACTAAATTTTGAAAAGCAAACCCTAATCTAAAATAATTATAAAATTAAAATTAAATTTGTAATAATAAACAAAATATGTTAACTTAAAAACCCCTAATGTAAGCAATACAATTATAATTAAAAACAAATTAATTCAGAAATTGAAATTGAATAAAAGATGAAAAAATGAAAAACAAAACCTGAGATTTCAAGTGGACGGTGATGGAAGATGGGTAGACGATCGGCGGTTGATGGTGGCGGACGGAGAAGATGATCGGACAGCGACCGGCGGATGATGGTGGCGGAAGGCGTCGCGGAGGAGACGAAACTACACAACAACTCTTTGTGGTTTCTGTCTGCGAAATCGGAGAAACTGAGAGGAGTTCCCGTTTTTAGATCTGTTTTTGGCGACGGATTTAGCGACGGAATTTTTCCGTCGCCAGCAGCGTTTCAATTATATTCTTTTACCGACGGAATTTTTCCGTCACCAAACTAACGACGGAATTTCCGTTGTTATTTCCGTCGTCTAATATGCCGCGCACTACCTCCCGCCAATACGGAGCGACGGAATGCTGATTCCGTCGTAAAGTTTGGTAGGTGTAAAATTCCGTCGCTGAATCCGTCGCCGTTAGCGTCGAATTGCATTCCGTCGCTATAATCTGTCGTTTTTTTCGCGTTTTCTTGTAGTGATATCACATGGGGATATTAGCTCATTATTTTAAAAAAATACAAAGAGAATATTGAACACTTTTGACCTAAATGACACACCACTCTTAGCTGATATTTGTGTGGATATAAAAGCTAATTATTTGATAAAGACAATAACTTGCTTTGATGAGAGAATTATTTGGAGGACTTGAAGGCTTAAAGGTCTTGGAGAGCAAGGAATATTAATGGAAAAAACATGGCTATCTCTCTCCCTCTCTCAAAAGATGATGAAGTGGGATGATATATGCCTTCAATATTTAAAAAATGTAACCACTTGGTAGTTGTAACTGCTAAGGATTCGAATCCTAAAGAGGGGAACTCGAATCCTGAATTGGTTTTCAACGGGTTTAAGCCAATGGTCATCAAGGATTCTAATCCTAAAAATGAGGATTCGAGTACTTCATCAAAATCAGGGAAACAAAAAATACTGAAGGATTCGAATCCTACATTTAGGAATTCAAATATTTCCTTTCTTTAACCCCGAAATCTGACCGTGAACAAGAGAAAAGACCTCGGGACAAAGAATGGATCAAGGTTAAACTCACCATGGGTAGTCTAGGAGATTTCTTAGTTCCATATTCTTTTAAAAATATTCTAAAATCCAAAGACTAATTTCCTACCTAAAAGTCTTCGAATCTTGAACCCATAGAACGTCTTGAAGAGCGTTGATGTTGCATTTCTTATCAACAGTATCCAAAGCTTGCAATCCTCGATAGCATGAATCCATAGAACGTCTTGAAGAACGTTGATGTTGCATTTCTTATCAGCAGGATTTAAAGCTCGCAATCCTCGAATGTTTAAGTCGTTTGTCATTATCACACAAGGGGCAACTGCTTTGAGTGGTGAGCTTTCTTTTAAATCGTACATTAAGGTGTCTTCTCACATTGTGCCATCCCATTTCAGTCATTCTGTATGTAGACAGGCACACAAATATAATACACATGCACACTCACACACTATTCCCTCCGTCTCAAAATAAAAAACACCCTTTCCTTTGTAGTTTGTCCCAAAGTAAAGCTTCATTTCCTTTTTTGGTTAGGACAGGAAAATGTGGCCATTATAATTTCTCTTTGTTCCAAGCCAATTCCAAAAAAAAAATCTTCGAACCATACAATTTTCACTTTTCAACGTATTCCTTAAACTTCGTGTCAAGTGGGCTGTTTATTATAGATGGAGTATAATTTCTTTGTTTTATTCTATAGTTTATGTTAATTCCATTTTTCTGCTATAGTATTATAGCTTTAATGTTCATTACTTTTTTGTTGTTTATATCATTTTTTCTTGTTAATTCATTTTTAATAATCTTTTCAAGAAATATTCACGTCAGTACTCCCAGATTTACTCCCATATTTTGCTAATACTCTGAAAAATCATCGGATTTCATTAGAATCACATTAAGAGATAGTCTCAGATTTAGCAGCACATCTTAAGAAATAAAATTGCATTAGATGCAATTTTGACTTTTTTGAAGACGAAGGATTTCACTAGGTTCAATTAGGTTTCCTTTATTAAGTTGTTCAAAAAACTCCAAATAGCATCTAATTTAATTCCATTAGTGTACATGTGTTGCCAACTCAATTTTTCCAATGCCATGTCAACCCAATTAATGCCACGTAATTAAGTCCGTAGCTAACAAAGTCGGGGCTGGTTAAGCGATGTGATGATTTCTCGAAGTATTGGTGTGCAAAAGAGAGTTTAGGATTAATATTGTATAATCGACCAAATGTGGGAGTATTGTTAATTGGTGTGAATTTTTCCATCTTTTTATCATGGAGACTCCTTTATTATGTCACCTGTGGACTTTTGTAATGATACTCTGGTACTTATTAATGTGGGATACTCCCTCCATCGCTTTCTTTATATTCCCACTTTCCTATTTGGATGCCTGTAATTAATCTTCTTACGAAAGAATTGTTTGGTTGACATCACTTTATAATCCTCTGCACAAATTACAACCACACAGTTTTACCTCTTAAACTTTGTGTAAAAAGCAATAATTTAGTTAGTGATATAATATATGTAGTACTTCCCTATATTTATAATAAATCATATATGTTTGTACTATGTTATACATATGTCGCCATATCATTGCTTCGGCAGCAAACTAACTGATTAGGCGATGTGAAAATCTGCAAGTGCTTTGCCCCCAATTTCAGAAAATTGTCAACTATGAGTAGAATTCAATACATTCATTGCAAATATTAATTCTTGTGTTGTTTCTTTATCTCCCATTGTCTATCATTTTGTACTGCAGTGTGTGTCTTTTGATTGTTTTTACTTTTTCTTGTCAGGCTTTGGGCACACTGTCTGGCATTATATGTCATAACCTGCTGTGCCTGTCTTCTTCTTTACTTTGTAAGGATATTTGAGTCCTATTTATATTCATTACTAGTACTATTCATTCAAGAGATATCTGCTTTTATCATAATTGAAAATTTGCCTTGTGTTTTAAGGAGTTCAAAAACATCGCGACAATGAGGTTGACATACATTGCTTCTTCTGTCTCCAACCCAAGTTATTTCACAATTCTTGTTCGCGGCGTTCCACATTCTCAAGATGAATCCTATAGTTCCTATGTGACCAAGTTCTTTACAAATTACTATGCATCAAGTTATTTATCTCACCAAATTTTGTACCGGTCTGGTGCTGTTAAAAAGATGTTGGTAAGAATCTGACACTCTTCTCTGTTTTTCTTTGGTGGAATCCTTTTCTCCCTCCCTCATTCAACATCCCAAATCTCCAATGTCTCATTTTCCTTGAACGTGGAGCTCTAGAGCTTGATAATTATGTTATGTAACAAAGAGTGTATGTATGGAAGCATTTGAAAACATCACAGTTTCATTGGTTAGATAGAAATGAATTGTAATCACTTTAAATTCTTTAAGGGCACCATTAGCTGTCAAGTCATTGTTGTAAAAAGCCCCATGATTCAAGTCATTCTTTTGACTAGTTGAAGGCAGTCATAGAAGATATGAATTTACGTCCTTTAGTTCTCCTTGGTAATACAATAAACTGTTTAAAAATATGGACTTGCAAGCTCCATGTACTTTTGTATTCATTTCTATCATTTTTTATATTTTTACTTTCTGTTGATTAATGTTTGGCACTATGTCATGCAGACTGATGCAGAACAATTGTACAAGTTGCTGAAATCATCAGCTAAAGATCAACAATGTGACTCAAGTTTATTTAGATGTTGCTTTTGTGGTACATCATCTTCTTTCAATATGCTATCTACTGATCCTGAAATTCAAAAAGGAACAAGTGATTTTGGTGGATCAGATTTGAGGAATAAGGTCATAGATATGCTTGTGATTTGTAGTTATTACTGATAATTTTTATGTGTAGAATGCAAAAACTTTCATGCACTCTAGGTTTAGTTTTTATTTGTCACCTCTCTCTTCCTCGTTTCATTTGGACTTCGATTGGAATCTATCTTTCATCACTACAAAAACCACTAATTCAAGTATTGCGTGTGGAGTAATCACCATCAAAGCTCCACTCCTGTGGGTTTCTTTCTTCATTGGTGTTTTAATATTGCATACCGGCTTTTCGAATTGCTTCCCTCCACACAGTTTGAGCTGCAGGGTCAAAGATTTTCATTTTAGATAATAGCTTAGTTAGATAGGAAATTAGGAATTACTTCGTATAGAATAGTTGTATATTTAGTTTCTCCCTCTATCAAATAATTTTTGTTAAAATTTTGACACACTGTTGGGTTATGGAACCCGGGGGCCTAGGAGACTAGGCGAAAGAGTATCAAACGAGAGTCGAGAATGCTCAAGTTAGGAATCAAGTGAGATTCTGAATATTAGTTCCAAGAGAACGTGTCTTTTCCCCTCTTTGAAGAGGGGCTTATATACAGATTACAAACGGAAATTCCCGACCTTTGGTCCATAATCCAACGGGCTGGGCCCACAAAGATCCGGTCGTTCAACCGGCAGCGCCAACTGTATGATTATCCCTAGGGTGGCTATACAAGATAGGTTACAAATAGGGTGGCTACAACTAATCTGACGGAGGCGTGGCAGGAGTCCAAGCGTGGGCCCCATGATTTGACCAGTCATGCAGTTTTCCCATATGCCGTGGTCCCGGTCCAGCAGCACCTCAGGCAGAGGCCGAGTACGCGCGGGTTGGTCTCTGGAGACTTCTGATGAGGTGGTGGCCGACTACGATCCGAAGCTGAGCGCGCTCTCCCGGGGCCAAGTGTGGGTGTGTCCCGATGTGGCAGCTCCTCTGAGACCTTGCTTTCTTTCAATTTCGCCGTGCCGAGTAGGCCTGGTTTGAATTGGGCCATGCCGGGCCACTATTCCTGTTGGGCCGGATACCCCCATTCCGGGGTATCCATCACACACCTTAACTAACAAATTTGTTCATATAATAACGAGAAAAATACTTAGCATAGCTCGCATATCTCTCATTAATGCATTAAATAATAAATATATACATACTATGGCACATTTATAGATGGAGGGAAACTAAGGAAAACTATCTGAATTTCTTTAGAATGGAGGAAAAATTTAATTTAACTTGGAATCATGTTTAGTTAGTTTTTCAATGGGATATTCTCAGTTATAGGATTCCCTTATTTTCTATTATATTAAGCAAAAGGCTAAGAGATTTTTGAATATCAACACTAGGGAATCTGGGATTTCAACCAAATTCAACTCTTTCTTCCCTTCTGCTTGCATAAGCTGCTCTTTGTGTTCCCTGGAACACAACAAGTTGCCTGTGCATTTTTTTGGCAATCCTCAAAAACTTCGCCTGTACATTTACTAATGTTCTTTCCAGGCTGGAATTTTCCTTGTTTCATAAATATGCCATATTCTATCTGGTACCCATTTCAGAAGACCTGCATGATCTGGTCACATACTTCTTACAGGAATGTGCAGCAGCTTTAGTTTTTTTCAAGACTCGGTATGCAGCATTGGTTGCATCACAGGGTATTCAATCTCCAAACCCCATGTTATGGGTGACAGACTATGCTCCAGAACCACAAGATATGTATTGGTCTAACATTTGTGTGCCATATAGGCTTCTTTGGATACGTAAAATAGCTATGCTTGTGGCCTCCGTGTGTTTTGTGATATTCTTCCTTGTGCCCGTCTCTCTAACACAAGGACTTGTTCACCTTGATAAGCTACAGAAGGCATTTCCATTTCTGAAAGGACCATTGAAGAGGTACATTTTCCCTTCGCGTAGGGTTTACTATTTAGTATGCCCTTCCTCTGTTACACTAAATATATTTCTGTGACATTATAAATAAAGAAAGCATTCAATACCATTTCCCCATTTTGCCTTTCTTCTTTATCTATGTTTTGAAATGTTTTTGGATTTTCATTCAAACCAAATCAATCATTGCAAACTCTCAACATAGAGAATGTACACATTGTTGTTAGAGAATAGAGCGAGTGACTCCTGGTATACGGAGTTACAGACCTGCAGAAAGCAAGACACAACCATAAAGGTAGGCATAAAATAAGGAAGACAGAAAAGCTAAAGAACAACAGATATTGAAAATATAGGAAACTAACAAATCTAGAACTAAATGTTAAGAATCGGCTGTAGTGGGAAAACTGGAAGACTTGCAGCATCATAGGTGGTCTTTGTTATATCATACAGCTGTTTGGTCTTCTTTTTCTTCAATGATAGATTTGGAGCGGATAGATGAAGAGAGCAAGGGGTGACCTGACCATCCCTTCTTTGCTATTTTTATTCTTAAATTGAGTAATTAAAATTTGTTCTAAGAATGGTTTTTAGTTAATGGCTGTTTTTGTATAGTGACTACTTTCTACATGATTCGAGAATATTCATGTTTTCTGATACGCCAGCTCAACCCATGCGAGTGAGGCAGTCCACTTGGGAAAGGGAATCCAATAAGGATAGCTCCTTTATTTATGTCTAGCAATCACATTGGTAGATTTATGGAGTTGAAAGGCTCTTTTTTAGAAAAAAATATTTACCACAATATCTTTCCTATACTTATGTTACATTCGTTGAGAAGAGCTTTGAAAATGTTTGAATAAGAATTACTTAGTTTGCTTATTGTTTTCCTCATTTTTCATTGGTGATAGAGGACGTTAGTGGTTTGCATGTTAACAACTGGTGTTTTCATTTGCATAATTTTTTTTCGTTTTCATTTGGCACTATGTCTACCATGACACCGTCCACTGAAAATGCACCAACCGCACCAGAAGCTCATCCGTGGGAGGCGGCTGTGATGCCCTCGCCCTACGTTTTGATCAACGTGTTTTTAGCTTCCATACAACCCAACCTTGTAGAAGAATATTCAGGCCTTCACTAGGAGATTGAGGAAATCTCCTGATTAGCCATCTATCCGCCACCCCACCAGGTTTCATGAACAACCACACCCTTTCATCCCCTCCATTCACTCTTCCTTACTAAACTCATCCTCATAGCAGCGTTCCCAATACCTCTACTCACCCCAACAGTGACTGTCTCATCTCTGGATTTGCCCAAGCTTGATTAATCCGTCCCGCATGGGTTGCTATTCAAAGTCGAGGAATAATTTCTCTTTTTAAAATGTGCCACTGGAACACAGCTTACACGTGCTTGCTTTCATGATGGTTCCGTGGGTTTAAAAATTATAACCTGCTATGTTCTTGGCCACATTTTGTAGATCAAGCACAAGTCTATTTTGACCAATCCCACTTTGAGGACTTCACTGTGCAACTTTTCAACCCTCATTCACTTTGGCTCACCATGCAAATCATGGGCTCGACAGACCTGGTTTTAGTTGACGAGGGCAGTACGCATGATTTCATCCAACCCACACTCGTTGAACAACTTCAGTTGTTCGTCACTTCGGTTCCACTGTTTAGGGTCTAGATTGGTAATGGCTCCATTGTCACGAGACAGAGCTCATTTGTGGGAACATTTTTGTGGTTGATTTATTGTTCTTCTTATTGAAGGGGTAGATAATTGAGGCACAGGAGTGTGTTGAATTAGCAAAGATATACTACTTCCATCCCATAATTATCTTCTTCAATGGGTCTGAAACGATTTTTAATAAAGTAGAACTTGTGTGGTTGTGTAGAGGAAGGATAAATAATATGGGCCTCACAGTCTTTTCCTTAAAAAGGAAGTGGAAGAAAATTTTGGGACACCCTATATACGAAGGTAGGAAGATAATTATGGGATGGAGCCAGGGAGGGAGTACTCCATTGCAAATATCTGAACAATTGATGACTAAAGTAGCTACTATTTTCATGTTTGTGTGAAGTCCGAACTGCTTAATTTGGTTCTCTTTTTTACTTGTTACAGGAACTACATAAAACAGCTTGTTACCGGATATTTACCGAGTGTTGTACTTGTACTATTTTCATACTTGGTACCTCCATTAATGATGTTATTTTCGACAATGGAGGGCTCCATCTCTCGCAGTGGCAGGAAGAAGAGTGCATGTGTTAAAATAGTATACTTTATGATTTGGAATGTTTTTTTTGCCCAGACAATTTCCGGCTCTGTTATTGACGGATGGAGTGCTATTGATCATTTGGGTAAAAATCTGAACGACATACCAAACCTGCTCGCTACAGCAGTTCCAACGACAGTATATTTCCCTCTTAAAATAATTGCATTATGCCGAGATTACAAATTTATATCTTGTGTGTGTAAATATACGTATGTATGTACTGTGTGTGTGTCTAAATACACATATGTATGTACTGCATGTGTCAATATTTCATTCCAAAATGTGGTTTCATATGTTTTATATACCTAAAACCTTAATGTGCAATATTTGAAGCTTAAAAGTGCATCGTAACTTGCAACTATTTAAAATCATTACATGAGAAGATTTTGATATTGATCAGGACTCAAAAAATCAATTTGTTACAAATTCTTGTTTCTTGATTTGAGATTTTTGTGTTTTTTATATAAAGCAAAATGTCCTTTTGCAATCTCATTTTTACCTTTTAATCATTTTGCTCAAAGGACACTCAAAAAGTAAATTTTAGAGTTATACATAATCAAACTATTCAAATACTTGATCAATACACTATTGTAAAACCACTACTGTTAACCTTCTTTGCTTCCTATACTAACACTTTATATAATCCTTTAATTTCCTTCACTTCATTAAGAAAGCAATAGTCTGCTTTTCTAAACTTAGAACGCATTCTTGGATTCTCTCTAATTATTTCAGCATTCCAATATTTCACAGGCTACGTTTTTCATCACCTATGTGTTGACATCGGGCTGGGCATCTTTATCCATCGAACTCTTGCAACCATTTGGTATTATCTGGAGCTTCTTCTATAGGCCTTTCCTGAGTAACAAGAATGATTCATGTTATAGAACTATTACTTTCCCCTACCATACTGAACTTCCAAGGATTCTCCTTTTTGGGCTTTTGGGGTTCACATGTTCCATATTGGCACCTCTAATTTTGCCTCCGTTGCTGATTTACTTTTCCTTCGCTTACCTTGTGTACCGTAATCAGGTACGTCGTACTTACTTCATATTCTCTAAAAAGCAACACTTGCACAAGACCAGTGAGACCTAATCCACACTGAAAACTAATATTTTTGAGCTATAAGTCATTTCTCAAAATGCTCTGCTTTTACTAGTGAAGGTTTTTAGTCTGAAAGTATTAGACTTGAGAAGAATGTGATAGGTCTCACGCTGGATTGTGCTCTGTGAGACTTACCCTTGCAAGTTTTTGTGTTACTTTTCCTCACAAGTTTTTTTTTGTTACTTTCCTCATGAGTATTTGTATTCTACTGTCCATTGCTAATGGAGCTAAAAGAGGCATTATTGACAATGTTTTTGTTTCGGGACCATAGTACACTAAATAAAAATGGAACAGTAAACATTCCTTGCTTCTTACTTTCTGTGAATTTTTGAGCAGTAAATGCAGCAATGCATCTAGGGTCCAACAGAAACAGCCTCTCTGTTTTTAACAGGGGTAAGACTGTATACATTTTGACTTCCCAGTTCCCATACCCTAGCAGTTTTTGTTTATTCCATGGTTAATAAAACACTAGTGGCTTCAAGTCTTTCTCTGCCCCATCATAAGCTCTGTGTTTTTAAATCCCTCAGATTATCAATGTATATAGAACAAAATATCAAACTGGGGGACTTTACTGGCTTCTTGCGCATGATGTTACAATATTTTCGCTGGTGCTCACCCAAATAATAGCATTGGGAGTCTTTGGGACAAAAAAATCCACAGTGGCATCAGGATTTACTATACCCTTGATCATCTGTACACTCCTTTTCAATCAGTATTGCAGGCAACGGTTTCATCCAATATTCAAGAATAACCCTGCACAGGTAATTTCTCTCTTTTTATACTCCTGCTCAGGCTGAGTTGTTGCCATGTGATCGTTGGTCACAAATTCTTGGTCCCAAATTCGAGTCCTGAAAGTAGCCTCTTGCAGAGTGCATGGTAAGGTTGGCCTACATTACACCCTTATGGTGGGAGTGTGTGTTGGGCGAATTGAGTGTGGAGGCTCGACCAGGAAGGGCAGCCGGCCCTAGTCTTGGTTCGACCCATATGGCAGTAAATTAGGTTTTTAATTTAGCCGGCCCTAATTCTCTATGTGGGCTTGGGCCTAACTTGGGGATTAAGTTTTCAACCCTAGTTTAGTCTTCATAAATAGCGATCTCTGTACTTGTAATTCTTTGAGCACCTGGATAATAAAAACCCTAGTTGAAAAGTGGATTAGGTCAGCCGACCGAACCACTATAAATCTTGTGTCCCGTTTTCTCCGTTTTGATTTCTGTTTTGTGTGTGTTCTTGTTTGGTTGTGGTTTGCTATTTAGTATTCATAGATACCCCAACAACTGGTATCAGAGCCATAGGTTCGTGACCGTTGAAGTCTTCCCTCGGGTTTGTGGAGATCAGGTTCAAATCGAATATTAGGGTTTCGAAGGGTTTGAAGATCAGTTCCGCCACCGTCATAGTTTCCGCTGCAGAATACGGTCTGTACTGTCTTGTGAACAGTAACTTGTTGGGTTATTCAGTGAAGGCTTTAGAGCTTTGGGCTTTAAGCCCAGTCGGTTAAAGGGAAGAAATATGGGGGGCCGGTTTTAGTTATTAATTAAAGGGCCCATTAGTTGTTTCTTGTTTAGCAAGTTGTTAACCCTAATTTATATCTTATAAATACCCAATCATGTAACTATAATCTGTGAGCACCTAATAAAAGATAAACCCTAGTTGCAACCCGTGGAGTAGGCTACTGACCAAACCACGTTAAATCTCGTGTTCTTATTTTCTGCTATTTGTGTGTGTGTGTTTGTTCGCTTCCGCTTGACCGCCTCTGATCTCTGATTCCAAACAAGTGGTATCGGAGCCTTGGTTCAGTTAAACACACGGTTACACAGGGTCAATCGCAGGAAGAAGGCTGTGGAAGATCGTTTTTGTTGCTGTTTTGCTGCCGCGGTTAAGGGGATGGTTCGGATCTGATCA